GAGCCTGTTTCCTCACCTGTGAAACGGTGTAACACCACCACGTTCACAGGGCACCCACGCAAAATAAATGAGATGAGGGGTATACGATGGCCAAATAAAAGGAAGCTTTTCTATATCCTCCCAACCATCCAAAACGGGGCAGACAGCACTTTATATACGTGCACTCTCAGGCTTCACTATGATCACTGTGATAGTCTGAACAGTCCCTCAACCCCCAGATTCATATACTGAAGTTCTGATGCACAGTGTGATTGGATTTGGAGAGAGGGCCTATAAGGAAGTAATTAAGGTTAAAAGAGGTCGTAAGGGTGGGGCCCTTGATTCCATAGGATCAGTGTCCTCATAAGAGGAGACACCAGGCTGGGGCAGTGGCTCATGCCTGTAATCTCAGCGATTGCTTGAGGCCAGGAGTTCAAGACTAGCCAGGTATGGGGGTGTGTGCCTGTAGTCCCAGCTACTTGGGAGGCTGAGGTGGGAGAATAGCTTGAGCCCAGTTCAAGGCCGTGGTGGGCTATGATTGCACCACTGCACTCCAGCCTAGGTGACGGGGTGAGACCCTGTCTCCAAAAGAAAAAAAAAAAAAAAGAGAGAGAGACATTAGAGCTACCACCTCACCCTCCCTATCCAAAAGAAGAGGTCAAGTGAACACACATCACCCATGTGAGAAGGCAGTTGCCTAGAAGCTAAAAGAAGCCTCAGGATGAAACCTACCTTACAGGCATTCTGCTCTTGGATTTCCCAGCCCCCAGAACTGTAAGAAATACATTTCTGTTGTTTAAACCATCTAGTCTGTGGTATTTTGCTATGGCAGCTCCAGCAGACTAATACAACGTATTCTATCCTCTGGAGCTTTAATCAAACCTTACCATGATGGCTGCCCTCAGGCCAACAAAGACGCTGCGGGTTAACTATTTGATCTGGGAAAGCCAGGGGCAAACCTGATGAGCGGTTAGTGCTTCAGCCTTCTACTAACACCTGCCAAGTGCTGGCAAGCACTGAGCTTACAAAGATGATATGAAGGCATGGATCCTGCAGGAAGCTCACAGTCTGGCCAGGGTGGTAGATTTAGAACAATGACAGTAGAGTTGTACTCGTTTTCTATTTGCTACAGTAATAATTACCACAAACTTAGTGGCTTAGAATAATATAAATTGGTCAGGCATCCTGGCTCATGCCTGTAATCCCAGCACTTTGGGAGGCTGAGTGGGAGGCTTGTTTCAGCCTAGAAGTTCAAGACCAGCCTGGGCAACATAGTGAGAACCAACCTCTATAGAAGAAATTAAAAAATTAAAAAAATTCACAAACAACGCATGTATTACTATGGGTCTTACTGAGCTAAAACCAAGATGTTGGTAGGCTATGTTATTTTCTGGAACTCTAGGGGAAAATCCATTTTCTTGCCAGCTTCTAGAGGCTGCCAGCATTCCTTGGCTGGTGGTTCCCTTCCATCTTCAAAGCCAGTGATGACAGGGTAAGTTTTCTCACATCACGTCACTCTGACACTGACTCTCCTGGTTAGGGTTACATCGGGCCCACCTCGATAATCCAGGATAGTCTCTCTATTTTAAGGTTAGTGAGTAGCAATCTTAATTCCCCCTTGCCATGTAACATAACATATTCACAGCCTCCAGGGATTAGCATGGTGCAAATATGGGAGGCTATCATTCCCCCTACCAAAAAGTGGTAAGAGCAGTACTGACAGATGACAACTATGTGATATACATACGTTAGAAATAATTAGGGCAATTATATAACAATTATCTCTCTCTATATATACAGTTTATAACAATTGCAATGTGCCTAGTACTACACTAAGTACTTGATATGGTTGGATCTGTGTCCCCACCAAATCTCTTGTTGAACTGGTGTTTCCAGTGTTGGAGATGGGGCCTGGTGGGAGGTGGCTGGATCATAGGGGTGGATTTCTCCCGTGATGACGAATGGCCTAGCACCATCTTCTTGGTGCTGTTCTTGTGACAGTGAGTGTGTTCTCAAGAGAGCTGGTTGTTTAAAAGTGTGCAGCACCTCCCTGCTCCATCTCTTTTGCTCCTGCTTCTGCTCCCGCCATGTGAGACGCCTTGCTCCCTCTTTGCTCTCCATCACGACTGGAAGCATCCTGAGGCCCCAGAAGCAGAAGCTGCGATGCTTCCTATACAGCTTGCAGAACCGTGAGCCAAATAAATCTCTTTTTTCATAAATTACCCAGTCTCAGGTATTTGTTTATAGCAGTGCAAGAACAGACTAATAGAGCCCTTTACAACATTAGCTCAAACAACTCTATGCATATTATTATTATTCTCATTTTACAGATGAAGAAATGGAGGCACAGAGGTTAATTAGCTTGCTCAGGGTCACCTAGCGAGTAAATGGGAGCCTGGACCCCAGTTCCACAGCCTGCTCTTAAACACCATGCCACGCAGCCTCTCAGGAAATAGGGTATCTTAAAGGGGCCACTTACCTAAGAACAGGACTAAGCACTTTTATTTAGGAAGCACATGAACTGACTCATTTACACTACACAGATAACTGCCAATATTCGGACTCCTCTTTTATTGGGCATCTGCAGTCTGATTAATGAGAGATTAATTAATAGTCTGTGTTTGTTGCGGGTCACTTTGACCAGGCCAAATGAAGAATATATTAAAACATACAATATCCTATGTGTACCTGACACAGAGAAAGCGCTCAGACACGTAAAATGCTGGTGAAGCACAGATAAATCAGTATCTGTCTCTAAGCAATTTGTGAAACACACATTCTGAGGAAGGCATCAAACTAACCAGCCATTCTTCATTCTAAGCACGACTGGAGAAGGCTGGAAACAGATGAGCGGGTCTTTGAGGCCAGTGCTTCTCAAACTTTAATGTGCACACAGATCACCCAGGGATCTTGTTAAAATGCAGATTCTGATTCCATAGGTCTGGAGAACCTCTAACAAGCTCCCAGATGATCCTGATGCTGCTGTCTGTAGGTCATGCTTTTGAGCAGCAAGGTCCTGAGCCTGCAATGTTATTTTTCCACCGAAAATGTATGGTCATTCATTTATTTGGACACCAACTGTCAAGTGCTGCCAGGCTAGGTGCTAAAGATAAATAAAACAGATACATAAACAGAACTCTCTGCTCTTAAGGAGTTCACAGTCCAGTTAAGGCACTAGTGAATTTCTCTAAATTCCACAAATCCAGGGCGATGTCCAATACAAAATGAACTCTATCAAAGACAAAACCCTTACAGAACTGTCTGCAGAGTGAGAACAGATACACAGGTTGTGCTGGAAGCAACAATAATATTAAGATGAACACCTCTCTCTTCAAGGACTCAACAGATGACTCAAGCTATAATAAAACCAGATATTCCCGAGAAGCAGAGTGGGTGAGGGACAAAACTAGGTGTCAAGGCAACTTCAAAGCCAACAAAACCCCATGGACACGGAACCATGTCTATATATCATCTCTGGATCCCTCTATTCAGTATGGCAATGTGCAGTAAGACTTGCTAGCATTCATGACAGTCAGGTATAAACAAAAAGCTATATAAAAAGAGCAGTCAAGAAAGTAGTGTCCCATGAGAGAAGCAGCTAGATGGCTGTGGACATATTGAGCATGAGAGCTGAATGGAGGCGGGGTGGGGGGTTTCTTATCAAGGTCCAAATCCTTTAGTCGAGGAGGAAACTAAAATCCAAAGCAACACTTGGATTACAAGCAGCAGTTCTCAACTGGGGCAATTTTGCTCCTTCGGGGGACATCTGGCAATGTCTGAAGACATTTTTGATTGTTACAACAGATGAAGTGCTACTGGCACCCAGTGAAAAGAGGTCAGAGACGCTGCTAAAAATCTTGCAAGACACAGGACAGCCTACTACAATAAAAAATCATCTGTTCCAAAATGTGAATGGTGCAGAGGCTGAGAAACCCTGAGTTAAGGAATTTGCCCCAGGTTAAAGAATGAATGTCACACCATAGAACAGATTAGAGCAGTCCAACAGAGCATTTTGCAATGATGGAAACAGTCTATAATCTGTGCTGCCCAATATAGTAGCCAATAGCTACACGTGGCTACTGAACACTTGAAATATGGGTAGTGTGACTGAGAAACTAAAGTTTAATCTTTAATAATTTAAATTTATAATAGCTACACATGGCCAACGGCTACTCTACTGGACAGAACAGAACTACAATCTACCTTTTCTGCCTCCCAGACTGGTATTCTTCCAGTTTCACAGCCTGCTTCTTTCCACTTTTCTGAAATCACCCACTCACTTGACTTTAACACTAAGATTTGACTGGGAGAAAACCACCAAAAGTAAAATAATATTGCAGTTACAAACCAAAACCAAAACCAAAAAACTTAATAAAACATCCCCAGTTAAACTTTCGTTGTTTTGTACATTGGGAAATAAAGAAAAGATCGCTGTTACACATGCATGTAACAAGACTGCAGAAGCAAGAAAGGTCAAATTATTTCTACTTCCATTTGCAGGGAAGGGTGTTATAACACATATAAAACAAACAACTCTCTGAGCATTGAGATCACTAGGTTTCCGACCTGATTTCTCTACTTGGTCACTAACAGTCTCCTTCGCTTCTCAGAAGCTGGGTAAGAAACCAGGCTGGTCAGCATCACCTGCAAATTCTCCGGCTTCTGACTTCTCTCCCACCACAGAGACAACTCTCTGATTTGCCGGTTTGGGTGGCACCGCACCGAAGACTCACTTTGTGCCATGCACTGTGCAAAGCACTACCCATACATGATGTCACTTCACTCTCACTGCAGCCCTTTGTGGCACCGGGAGGTTAAAAAGCTGGGACCGAATTACACAGCCAGTCAGGAGTAAACGGGGGACTCCTAGATATGGCTCCCAATCTGCTCTAAATCACTACGCTAAGGTAAGGGCCTAAAACCTGGGAAAATAACCCTGGCTAGGAAGGCGTGAGGAGTCCCCCTGAGGAGCAGAGCAGTCAGGGGCTGCATAGCCGGGGAGGGGTCCTTGCGGCTCTTACTTCTCGATCTCCAGCGCTGCCACCTTCCGCTTTTCGTACAGCTTGTCATTGAGGGCGCGCACGATGTTAGGCGTGAGCGGCGCGAAATCCTTCTCGGGGTTCATGGTGGCAGCTCGGGGAGCCTCGCGACTCCTTAGCCCGCGGCTGCCGGGGCCGCGCCGGGGCCAGGGGAGTCTGCGGCTCCGCTCTGCCCCCGGCGCCGGCGCATGGACCACGCCGCTCCGGGCTTGCCTGCCACGCTCCGCCGCCTCGCCCTGGAACCCGGGCCCGGACCCTGCTCCAGCACACCTGACCCTGGCCGCCTAACAACTCTCGCCCGGTACCAGCGGTACTCACGGGACAGCGGCCATGTTACTCGGGTCACATGACTCTATAACACTTCCGCTTTCCGCCGCGAGGACCCGCCCCTCGCCAGCCACGCCCCCACCGCGGCCCTCAGGTGGATTAGCCACGCCCTCGGAAGGCTCCACCTACACCGCGCACGCCATCCCGCTGCGCGCCAGGTAGCTGGAGTGTGATTTCAGACGTGCTTTAATGGGTGTGTAGCTCAACTGATGGCACGTGCTGGGCTTCTGTAGACGTTCGTAAGACCGAATGGGTTCTTGGAGTCTGATTCACTTAACATAATTTATTCAATACTCACCGAATTCACTAGTTCATTCAGTACTTGGCCACTTACCAATTTCCTAGATGCAGATGTTTCCCTAACTGCAGTAACACTGTCATCACTTTCACCATATTCTAGCCACTCGTATTATCTGTTTAATATTTTCCTCAAATCAACTCACTTAAATACTTTAAATCTCTTTCAGTTTTGCTTGTGCCCTAAAATCATGAGTTTGAATACGTATATTTTTTCTAAGACACATCAAAGTAAATTCTCAATTAAAAATGTCACTACCCGTCTACCACCTAAGATCTCAGGTACCAACAGTGTCTGTCACCCACCATTTGGGACTTGGGGTGTATTTACCATGCTTCGATGCCTAGGAGGGCTGGTTACAGAGGCCCCAGATCTGCTGAGTGCAGGTCTCTAGATGGGTTTCCTGGAAAGCAGCCCCTTCAGATGCTTTGGGAATCACATTACATGGTGGAACAGAAATCCCAACTACATGGAGCAATTTATGGCCGGAGTGTGGTAAATATGCAGTAATAGGGAGGTGTGTCTTTCTTCTCATAAGCTTTCAGAGTGAACAGGGACTTAGGACAAGGGCTAGATTACAGTGGAGCTCAAAGAATATCAAATACAAACAGTTTCAGAATGCATGGTGATACTTTTCTTTAATGAATGAAAAATGCATACGTTGGCCTTATAACAACCTTGAAAATGGAGTATTATCCTCAACTTATAGATCAGAAACAGGGACACAATGAATGAAGGGTAAAGGTAGGCAGAATTATAGGATGACCTCCAATATTCCCACCCCTTTGTGTACATGCCCTGTATTATCCCCTCTTTCAGTGTGAACAAGACTTGTAAATATGATGGGCTATGCATCACTCACATGATTATATTATGTAATATCACAGAAGAAATTTTGCAGATGTAATTAAGGTCCCTAATCAGCTGACATTTAATTAATAAAAAAAGAGATTAACTTGGGTGGGCCTGACTGAATCAACTGAGTACTTAAAAGAGATTAGAAGAAGTTTGAAGTGGAAGAAAGACTCTCCTGTAAGGACTTCAGTCATATGGCCACAAGGAAATGAATTTTGCCAACACATTGAGGGTCCTTGGAAGCAGATCTTTCCCTAGTTGAGCCTCCTGATGAGGATGCAGCAGGCCAGCCCCTTGATTTCAGCCTTGTGGAACCCTGAGCTGAGAATCTAATTCACACTGGTCTCTCAACCCATGGACACTGTGAGATAATAAATTTGTGTTGTTTTGCTCTCCTAGTTTTGTGGTAATTTGTTATGCAGCCATAGAAAATGAATACAAAGGCTAATCCAAAACTCTGCAAGTCATGCAGATATCATGTCTAGAAAAATCCATAAAAAATGTATTTTCCTATACTGGTGGGGTTTTCACAGCTGTTAAAACCTTTGCTGACACAATCCTATGAATGAAGGTAGGTGTGCTAACAAGTAGTAGTAGTACTGCCAAAGACATCTCCAAATGTCTTGCAAAGTTTGGTTTTAGGATTTTGATGATGGTTGATGCAAAACACTGAAAAAACGTAAATCAATGGGAATGATTTGGTTCCATTTCTCCAATGTGTGTGCATTTCCACGGGACCCATATCTAATATAATATTTCATGTTTCTTTTGCTTTTTGGTTTGGCTTTTTCTTAGAGATGAACTTAATTTCCCAAGGGTCATGATACAGTTTTTAATAATTCAAACAGTAAGGATTTTTTTTTTTTTTTAAACCAGAAGTATTCTTTTCTCCTGAAATTACATTCTGGCTCAGGTTGCTAAGTAACCAGTTTTTTATTCAAGGCCCAGACCAATGCCTACCTTTATGTCAGAAGTTCCTAGAAGGAAGTGGTTCTTTTCTCTAACATCGTGAAAAACGCCAACTAGGTAAGATTGTTTATGCATAATTGAACTAGTAGTGGTGCTAAAAATAAAGCGCAAGGGCCACCTTTGCCTTCTACCCTTGTTCTTTTTCTCTGACCTGTGACCATTCTTGTTGAAGCTCTTCTAGACTAGGGGGATAACTGATGTGCCTGACTGCATACCGCTTATTATTTCACAGTTATAATTCATCGGCATCTGTGTGATGCTTGGTTGTTATGTTAGAACTTGTAATAGTTCTGTAACAACTATGCATAATAGCTATTACAAGGTATATAAAAGTTATGACATAACTTGCACCAAGAGGCTTCTGGTGACATTGTATGAAATTGTACCTAAATCTTGAACTGTACAAAGCAGTTTCTCCAACAGCAATGTAATTGTAGCTGGAGTTTCAGGGCAACAGGGTTTAAGGTATTAGGTAGAGGCTCTTGAGATGTGGCAGGCCCTCACCAACATCATAATATTGTCACCTCTGACTTGAGGCTCCTAAAGAAGTGGTTAGACTTAGCATGCCACACTCACCAGGGGCTCAAGGCCAGGGAGCCCCATTCCCATGGTATTCTGTGCACAGTGCTCCTTGGAGTTCTGTCACACAGCTACCCTGACATTTTCTGAACATCCCCCAGTTAGAAGTCTCCTGGTCTGCTTTGCTGAGAATGGACACTCTAATGTAACTTCCACAAGCATGTGTTGGAAGGGTTATTTTCATCAAGCCCCCTGTTAAGCTACTTTGCCATTCCAAATTTGCTGATATAAGACTATTTTGTTATTTTTGAGTCCAAGGAAACATGAGTAAAACCTAAAGGGAAGAAATGCACCCAATCTCAAACCAGCCTGTAAGAGGGTTCACACTGGGGCAGGATCTGAGCTTGGCTCTTGGTCCCAGGGAGAAAGAACTTCCTCCTCTCTCAGGGGCTAGGAGGATTTGGACCCTAGATTCAGTGGTGTTACAGGACCAACAGGTTTGTGTGCCCACTGTGCAGTAACAGACCAATGCACAGAGACAGTGGGGATGCAGCAGAGAAAGAGTTCCATGATCAGAGGCACTGAGTGATGAGATGGGAGGAGACCCTCAAATCCATCTCCTGGAGGAGTTCTGTGCTGGGGTTTTTAAGGGGATCCTGGAGGGTGAAGGGCTGAAAAACTGGGTCACTGGTTGGGTAAGATGGATGAAATCGTCAGGATGTGTAAACTGCATTCTTTGGTGAGTCAGCTTCTCGTGGGGTCCTTCAGATCAGCTGATGTCAGTTGATTCACTGGTACACAGAACTTGAAAGAATAAATATCTCAAATGGAAAACATAACATTTCCTAATGTTCAAGTTGTTACCTCCATAGCATTGAGGGGAACAATGATCTTTAGCAGGGTCTACTCTATGTGATTCTGAAGCAGCAGGCACCAAACAGCTATGAGGAAGCAGGTCTGAGCACAGGCTGATCTAGTGATTAATGCTGAGTGTGTTGCAACCTGGGTTCATTTTTGTTTCTCCCCCTCCCTTCTCCCTGATTAATTTTATAAAATGTATAAGGACAGCTTCAGTGACTTGGGGAGCATTGGAAGAGATCTGAAGTGGGGGGAGTTGCCCCAAGCCACCCCAAGGCTGGGTAAAAGCCATGCTCTGACTGGTGGCATGTTAGCCAAGATTGCATATAGCTTCTTCCTTTTTTTCTTCAGCCTTAGGAACCATTTGGTGTGCCATATTCACCACTATTGAAAAGGCATAACCCTTCTGAAGAGTAGGGTGATGGACCAATTACTCCCTTCCTCCCACTACCATGACTGCGTAGTTATACCTCTCGTGAATAGGTGGAAGGAGGCACATTTTGGGGAGGGTTAATTTCATCAACTAGGTCCTATGCACATTTGGTAAGACTCCCCTCAGGGCTGTAATGAAGAGAGTTATGGCTGTGGATTTGGCAAAGGTCAAGTTTTGCTAGGGACCTTAAGGTAGCACTCTCAGCTTCAATGTGCATGCAAATCGCCTGCATGTCCATGAAAATGCAGATTCTGATTCAACAGGTCTGGGGTGGGGCCTGAGGGCCTGCCTTTCTAACAGATTCCCAGGTGATGCTGATGCTGCAGGTCCATAGGCCACTCCGAATAACCAGGAGGCTGGAGGCTTTAGAGTTGTGGTTCTCACAGTCTGATTGGTATCACCAAGGAGCATCACCAGGAACTGGTTAGAAATGCAAGTTCTCAAGCCCCACCCAAATCTCCTAGATGGGACTTCCTGAGGGTGGGGCTCAGCAATCTGTTTTAGTAAGCCCTCCAGGGGATGCTGATGTACACTAATATTTGAGAAGCACTGACTTTATACAGACGCCATATATTTGCAAGTCATCATACTTGCTCATTGATCTTAGCATTCTCTCAGATGATTGGTCAGAGCGATCTTTGCTCACTTAACCATTGGGAAAATCTGTCATCTAGTTGTCTTTATAACTATCAGTGGTGTCTTTAGAGGTTGTAAAAATAAATTGTCTATTAAGTACGGCAGTCCTCCTCCTCTATGGTTTCAGTTACCTGTGGTCAACTATGGAATGAAAATATTCAATGAAAAATTCCAGAAATAAACAATTCATACATTTTAAGTGGCACGCTGTTCTGAATAACTTGAGGAAATCTCATGCCATCCCACTCCATCCCGCTCAGGATGTGAATCACCCTCTGGTCCAGCGTACGCATGCTGTAGACACAACCCACTTGACAATCACTGAGTAGATGACTTGGGGTTAGCAGGTCAACTGTCATGGGATCACAATGCTTGTGTTCAAGGAAACTTTATTTAGTTTAATAATGGCCCCGAAGCACATGAGTAGTGATGCTGGCATATTATTAAAATTGTTCCATTT